CTTGCTTTCTATATGACTTGAGACTAACAGATGTAAACATTAAGCATAGCCAGGTAAGCCTGTAATCCCAGCACTCATGAGGCTGAGGCAGGAGGATCACTGTAAGTTCAAGGCCAGCCTAGAATGCATAGAAAGACCCTGTCTCAAAAAAATAAATAAAAATCTATTTATCTATCTACCTATCTATCTAACTATGGCTGTGGTTTGTGTCTGGATCTGGATCTATCTACAGCTATAGTTTTTGTCTGGATAGCCTCCCAAAGCCTCATGTGGTCATGGGGTGGGGAGAGGCTTTTCAGAGGCAGCTGAATCTAGAGTTTGAGACTGATTTAAGGTCAAATGCTGGAATTCAGGGTGTGAGTGTGACATCCACCCTAGAGGGGGTAGCCTACATGCAATATAAGGGACAGAAAGAGGGCTCTGTCTCTTCCTCCTCCCCCCACCCACTGCTTTCGCTGTCTCTCCTCAGCTTGAACTGTTGCCCTCCTGCCACACACACCCTGCTCTGGAGCCAGCCAATAAGGACTGAAACCTCTACAAAACATGAGCCAAGTAAACCTTTCCTCCTTTAACTTTGGATGTCCAGTATTTTTTCTCCGCAATGAAAAAAGTAACTGAGAGAATTCAGTACCAGAGAAGTAGAGTAGTTTGCTGTGACTCTCCATGACTGTGCGCTTCAGGAGAGCTTTTGAGTATGTGCTTGAGAGAAGAGACTGGAAAGTTTCCAAGACATTGGCTGAAAAAGCAGTACTGGAACACCTTAGGCACTACTGTACAGGAGATTCTGGTCAGAGCTCAGAAGACCAGAAAGCCAGGCTCAGGAGGTTTCTGCTAAGGAGAAATGGCTGCTGGACCCCAGACGACGTGTGTTATGGTTTGGCAGAAAATGTGTTTGCATTTTGCTGGTGTCCAGAGACCTTGCCTGAGACTGAGACTGAGTACAGTACACTAATTAATCTTGCAGAAGGAATTACAAAGCAGTCAAATGTTGAGTGGGTGGCATGGATACTGTTGTGGGCTTTTAGCTGATCTATACTGAGAAATAAGAGCAAAGAAAAGAACCCAGCATAATGATTTAAAATGTTACCAGTTTGGTCAGAAAGGAAGCTCCAGTAAAGCTGTAAACTGCCAAGAGAACAGAGGAGATATTGACTGCTGAGAAGGAACAGCAGAACAGAAAAGATGGCTTGAGGCCATCACAACAAGCTGCAAGATTCCACCCTTTACAGACTCTAAACTGCCTAGAAGCGTGACTTTGCTTTAAGAAAATACCTTTGAGTAGAAAACCCCAGAGTACCATGTTCTAGAACAGTGGCAGCCTATAGAATTTGTTCCTCAGAATTTGATTCAGAGTGATCAGTGACCCAAGCACTGGACCCCTACAGCATAGAGAGAGAAGACTGCCTACTGCTCCACCTGGCAGCAGACCCTGGTATCATCCACGTGGCACTGCTTTTAGGTGCACACAGAGTGCAAGAGTTGTGGGGTCATGAAGGCTTCTATCTCAATTTCAGAAGGTCTGGGAGGTCAGGCAATGTACCCACCAGAGAGCGGGGTGTGAAGCTAGGAGTGTGAAACCAAAGGTGCAGTAGAGATTTGAGAAGTTTGGAAAAGCCGTGAAGTGGATCATCTGAGGAAAACTGCGGGGGGGGGGGGGGGGGGCACGGACAGAGCAGGCCCAAGAATGAAGTCATGGGAGCTACAGTCACCAGAGGTGTAACAGGGCCAGAGCCACTCAAGAATTTGGAGTTCACATCTTGCCACAGACTGTCTCAGATGCTGCACATGGAACGACAGGACTTGTTTACCGTATTAGATTTTGGCCTTGCTTTGGTCCCATTCCTTTGTATTCCCTTAGCTACTTTTAGAATGAACTGTTTATCTTGTGCCACTGAATGTTAGAAGTGTTTAACTTTCTTTTCATTTGTATAGGAGCTCAGAACTAAGAGTTTGCCTTACATCTCAGAAGACTTTTGACTTGGAATTTTTAGCAATGGTGAAACTATCAGGACTTCAGCAACTGGAGATGGACTACATGCCTTTTGCATAAAGAGATGTTTGGGGGCTGTTATGGTTATTATATTGTATCAACTTGAGAAGTTTAGTAATTCAACTGAGAGACTCAGCAGGGAGCCAGGGTTCCTACTTGGTAAATATCCTCAGCCTGCACAAAGGAGGGCAGGAAGATTTTGTGAGTGCTATACCTGCCCTAAAGGGGAGGGGGTGGCCTGTACACAATATAAAGGAGAACAGGCTTGTTTCCTTCTTTTTGTTCTGACTGCTTTTGCTGGCTGCTGCCTTCTGCCTTGGAGCCAGCTGATTATGGACTGAGAGGGCCAAAAACTGTAAGAAATAAACTTTTCCTTCCCTTATATTGGGTGTCAGGTATTTTGTTTCAACAAAAGAGAAAAATAACCAAGATAGGGGACAGAACGTTAAGGTTTTTACGTAGATGTCCCCCTAAAGCCTCACGCTGGCATGGGTTTTGTTTTTGTGTTTTTGAGGTGGCTGAATCTAAGTGTGTGACTGAGTCATAGGGCAATGCTGGTACAATACAACAAAAAGAGACTTGTCTTGCTCTCTCCCCTTTTGTTCTTGCTGCTTTTTCTGTCTTCCACTGTCATGAACTATTACCCCTCTGCCATGTGTCACTCTGCTTTGGAGCCAGTCAATTATGGACTGAAATCTCTATAAACTGTGAGCTAAATAAACCCTTCCTCCCTTTATTTTTGGGTATCAGGTATTTTGTCTCAGCAATGAGAGAAAAAATATATACATACATATATATATGTACTATACTATATATATAGTATAAAAGTATATATATATATATTATATATATATAGTATAAAAGCTAACACTATTTGGGTGGGTGGGGGTCTCACTATGCAGTCCAGCTTGAACTTGAACTCACTATGAGGCCCAGGTTGGCCTCAAACTCACAGCAATCCTCCTGCTACAGCCTCCCAAGGGCTGGATTATAGGCATGTACCATTACTACGTCCAGCAAAAAGCTAGCACTATTTGAACTTTGATTTATAAACCCTTTTTTTCTATATAACTTAAGGAACTAATGAATTAAAAGGAATTACAGTGCAGTTTATGGTTTAGATCACATGATATATGAGTAATTTTGTGATGGCAACAACTGGAATAAGGAAAGAGCTGCATAAGGAACACAGTTTTAGTATGTTATGGACATTAAACAAAACTAGAGTCCAAAACTTATGAAAATTGGCTTAAAAAATTAACAACTTGCTAGCAAATCTAACTCAGTAGTATATTAAAACTTGTATTATACACCATGATTGGGGGGGTTTATACCCTGGCTTCAAGGACACTAAATATACGGAAGATTAATCAAAGCCGATATACCACATTAGCAGGATACAGGGGGGCACACATAACCATGAGGCAAAAAAAAAAGAAGCATGTATCAATATTCAATGCCTTTTAGCAACTGAAATAACGATATTCAATATATATCAACTATCTCAATATATAAATAGTATACAGTGAACATCCTACTCATTAATGCAGGTCTAAAAACTCTTCCTCTGAGAAACAAGGTCAAGAAGCCTGGTTATGCCTCCCCTGTTCGCCACAGCTCTGAATTTTAGTTGGAAGGAGAGAAGGAGAGCAGGGAGGGAGGGAAGGAAAAAGGGAAGGAGGGTTTCTATCTAGTTGTCTTTGCATAATTTATGCACAGAAAAACCCAAAATATTTTACCAAAAACTATTAGAAAAAATAAGCAAAATAGCAGGATACAAAGTCAATATTCACAAATATGTTCTATTTCTATACACCAACAATATTTGACATGAAATGGAAATTACAAAACCAAAACAATTTTGTTGTGAACCCAGAAACAAACCACCACAACCATCACTACCTCAGAGCAACACAGGCTTTAGAATGAATAAAATATTCTGGGTAAGGACTAATCACATCAACATAAAGAAAATCTATCTCCATGTCTTAAACATCACGTAACAGAAGTCCCGAAGTCCTCTCTTTCTCGATGACCTCCTCAGTAGTAACTCTTGTCTGCCTTACAGTTAAGGGGAGTTATTCTTTAATTTGTGTCGTGCTGTGAAGCAATCCACCCCTTGTGTCATCCAAGTACATTTTTTCCGGCTAATTGCACTCTGGGCAGCTAATGATGTTCCCTACCAATGATTTCTGGACTTTAGTGCATCCTCTAAACTCCTGCTTCATTTTCACCAGGCTTCACTCACATGCAGCTACTCAGCATGCTATCACTGCCCCAAACAAATCATTAGTAACTTGTTTCCCAGGAGGAGAGAGCCCTGAACCTGCCTCGAGAATCTTTCCCCACACACTGCCTGTGCTTTCACCCACCTCCTAGTAACACGGCGGTAACACTGGCGATGAAGCTAACCATCAGCAGGCATTTCTCCTTCAGGTGTCTTACACACAGGTAAGACACTGACTGGAATACCCTAACCCACAAGTCCAATAAGCGCATCAAAGACAGAAGCAACACAAGATGAGCTGTGATGACCTGTTCTAGAAACCCTTGATGACTTCGGTAATCACTGCTTTTCTCCTTGCTCCATCAAAAAGAGTACAACGCCTTTGTGTTTCAGGAAAGGAATTTGATATTCTAATTTAACAATAAGGATGAAAACAGGAGTCTCTTATGCTTAAGTGATGAAAATGAGATTAGTCTAGCTCCTCATTTAATAATGTATGTAGCATTTACTGTTAACATTTATAATACTTGCAGATGGTACCACTTTGGCCTACAAAGATAAATTTCAGATTTATTTTCAATTATTAAAATTTCTCCATTCCATTTCTAATGTATTTATATAAATCTCTACTTATGAAGCAGAAACACCTTGTGTAACAAGCCTGCTGTTACAGATAAAAAAGGAGGAGCCTGGCGTTGGGTGGCTTGGTCAAGGGAGAAACCCACTTTGGGCACAGCCAAGCGCACACAGCAGAGACACACTGCCACTCTGTCCACTTCTTACCAACTGCACTTCCCCGAAGGCTCCTCTCCCGATGACTTTCACGACATCATAGTCTTCCGCCTTCATTTGCAGGTCTCTGACTTTCTTCACAACTTTCTCATCTACAATAAAAAGTTCACCATATATATGTATTTATTTTTCTTGTCTTTACTGATTTTATTTATTTGTTTATTTATTTTTGGTACCAGGGATTGAACTCATGATGTCGTGCTTGCCAGGCTGGCACTTATGCCACTGAGCTAACTCTAACTCCCTGGCCATGTTCACCATATTTGTAACAGCAACCACCACATTTATTAGCAGCACTTGTAACTAATCACCATATTTGTAAACAAATTTTTATCTTAACCAACTGCACTTAGTTTTCAGCTAAAACTGCTACTGATCTTTAAAGACTCCTATTCAAACCTTTCTCTGGAAAGCTGAGACACACCATGACTGCAAGTTGAGCCCAGACTGCACAACTTGGCAAGACCCTGGTCTCAAAACTAAAACTTTGAGCTAGGCATGGGGGCACTTCAAAGGCTGAGACAAGAGGACTGTCGTGGGGTCAAGGCTAGCCTGAGTGCCACATAGTCTCAAAAACAAACGAATGAACAATAACAACAAAAAAACACCAAAATTAAACATTTGCAAAAGGATTGGGGATGTGGCTCAATGTAGAGGTCCTGTGTTCAATTCCTAGTACTGAAAAACAAACAAGCAAAAAACAAATAAAAACCCCCAAGATTTATATTACTTTTACATTATCTTCACATTATCTAAGATTCATATTATCTTTATATTAATCCATACATATAAACTGCCAAAAAACAACAGTTAATGCTACTTTGTGTTCTAACTCTGTTACCTGGCAAATCTGATGTCAGCTGACATGGTGATGACTAAGTAATCCCGGTGTGCTTTATAAATTATGGCAGGAAGTTGCCACAAGATCCCCTGCAAGGACAATCTTAGCAATGACTGACAGCCAATTCTTTACAAAGCAGTAACCATACAGTGTGTATACAGTAATTACAGACAAGATTGTTTAATCGGGGAAACACCCCAGTGTCTGGCAATTCCAAATTAAAGTTTACCAGGGTGACATAAAACATATATTAATGATTTGGAGAATTTCTGATTTTGAGTTCAACTCAATTTACTTCCATGACAATACTGGCAAATTGGTTTAACACAAACATGATACTATACTATAAACAGGTGTTCATACGTATGTGATGAATACATATGGTAACATGTTACAACAGGTTAACATAATCTGTGTGACAATTATCACACTATTTTGCTTGAGAGCAAAATGTATATAGCAACATTACAGCTCATTATTTCTTCTGGATAGCTAAAATCCAAGTCTTAAAGTTGTCGATATTAATTTAATACCTCACTTAGGGATTAGAGACATAGCTTGGTGCAGCACTGCTTGGCAAGTACAAAGTACTAAGTTCGATTCCCAGTAGAATAAAAACCCTTCACTTATAATTGCTATAAATACCCTAAGATAGTTAATTAGTCTTAAAAATCCCACAGTATCTTTAACATTATATAGTACACTTCAATTCTACAGTTTGCTTCATAACTAACAGGACTACAAATAAATAGGTAGGCACTGTAAAGATCAGTTTTTGTTTTGTTTTGCTTTTTTTAATCGGTACCAGGGATCAAACTCATGACTGTGTACTTGCAAAGCAGGTGCTTATGCCGCTGAGCTAAATCCCTAGCCCTTGGATCAGTTTTTAAATAAATTAATGATAAACTAAAATATCCTTAAATTTATTTATTTTTTAAATTTTGGGGGGGGGGGTCTTTTTTGAGCCAGGGTTTCACTGTATGGTTTAGGCTAACCTTGAACTCACTCTGTAGCCCAGGCTAGCCTCAAACTTGAAGCAATCCTCTTGCCTCAGCCTCCCGAGAGCTGGGTTTACAGTCATGAGCCACCATACCTGGCTAAAATATCCTACATTTAATAAGCTAAAGAGTTAACAAAATTAATAAGCTTATAGACTATGATATTAATCAGACATTTTGTCCAAGTACAGTTACATGATCAAATATGAATTTTAAAAATAAACATACTTACATCTATTTAAGAAATTATCTATATTCTTATTTTTTCTCAAGGCAGGAAAATCCAAATCAAGGACCAAGGAATTTAAGCCATCCTGTTTAAAAAAAAAAAAAAGTTTTTATAATTTCTTAACATTCAAACAATCTTAAAACTTTATCACATGCGTTCTCACTGAACAGATGCTGACCACCAAGGGATGCTACACTAGGGCACTCAAGGTCTGGTCCTCAGACAGTCTTCTAGCCCTGGCCTAGAGTGCTGGGGTAGCAGGGCCGGGTGTGGTACTCGGACAGGGCACTTACCTAGCAGATGCCAGGCAGGGAGCTCAGCTCCAGTACTGCCCCATAAATACATGTTTCTAGCAAGAAGAAAGGAAAATGGAATACAACTAAACCAATTCTTACTCATTTAACAAGCATTAATTTTGTGCCTACAAAGAGAAAAATGTAAAAATAAGTAAAACGTTATTCTACCCCAGTTACAAAGGAAATAATATCAACAGCATCACCAAATGAGACCATACCAAGTTAAAAAGCCTGTGCCTAACAAGCAAAACAACTGACAAAACAGAAAAAAAGCCTACTGAATGGACGAGAAACTTTAATGCTAGCTGCTTTTCTGATAGAGGACTAGTTTAGAATACAGTATACAAAAAACTCAAAAACTTAACAACGCAATAAAAAATTGGGCAAATAAACTGAATAGACACTTCAAAAGAAGTATAAATTGGTCAATAAATATATGAAAATCTGTTCAGCAACTTTAGCCAGTGGGGAATACAAACAAAACAACTTTGAGATACCATCTAACCCCATAAATGACTCTCATGGAGCGCACAATACACAGTGAATGCTGATGAGGATTGGGGTGGGGAGGGGGGTACACCCAGATATACTGTGAGTGAGAATATAAACTAGTATAACCACTATGGAAATCAGCATATTCCTCAAAAACTAAAACCATCTGATCTAGCTCTTCTTCCTAGGAGTATTTCATAAGGCACTAAAGATACCATACCATACTGATATATGCATGCCCACAATTATAAGGGTATAGTTCACAACTGCCAAGCTCTGGAAACAGCCTAGATTCCTGTCAAGAGGTGACTGGATGAAGGAAATGTGGAGTACATAGACAATGGAGTATGATTCAGACATAAAGAAACCATGTCATTTGCAGGAAATGAATGGAACCCAATGGCATCATGTCAAGTGAAATAAGCCAGACTCAGAAAATTAAATATTGCATGCTTTTTTATGAGAAACCTCAAGTATAAATAAACTAATTAAAACTTTAATAAAAAAGGGAGTAGGGAGGAAAAGGTAGGAAAAGAGGAATTTTAAAAAAGTGTCCAGGGATTTAGCTCAGCAGCACAGTGCCTGCCTGGCAAGCATGAGGCCCTGAGTTCGACTTCTAGTACCAGAAGAAAGAAAAGAAAAGAAAGAGAGAAAGAAAGAAAGAAAGAAAGAAAGAAAGAAAGAAAGAAAATATACCAGTAACCACTCTCAAGATGACTGTAAAATGCATGAACTGCAACATAAACTAATGAAAAAAAAAAAACAGGAAAAAAAAATAAAAGAAATGGTAAGAAACTAGAAGGCAGATTCTCGGAGACGGAAAAGGGGGACATGGTAAAGGGACCGAAAATGATCACTACGTTATATGCATGTACCAATTCCCCAAAATGAACATCATTATTTTGCATTACACACATGCACTTTTAAAAAGTGGGAGGAGGGCCCTACTGAGAAAATAACTAAGCCCCAGATTACTCAATGGATATGCTTGTGGAGGTAATGGTATTCCTAAAATATTGCATATATTGTCTCACTGGCAAGGAATTGAGAAGGCCAGGAGGAAATACTCTCATTTTAGAGATAAAGAAACAAAGTCTCAAGAGAAATGAAGGGACCCGGTTTGCCTAAGGTCATGCTGTTAGGAAACAACAGGGCAGGGCACTACCTGTATCTTACAGGCCTAATGAAGTTAGCATATCTCCTGGCAATAGTCAGGCAGACACACTATGTTAGTTATTTCTATTTTCTTTTCATAAAAGAAATAACTGTGGAAGAAAGCAGAAGATTACAGGAATGAAAGCAGCAAGAAAAAGATGCCTGTGAGGGACTGGTGGGGGAAACCTAGGGCAAGACCCCATAAAATTTAGAAAGACAATTTGAGGTTTTAATTTACTAAATCTAGAAGAATTCCACATGTTCTGTTTATCACTTTTCATATTTAAATTTATCATATACTAAATGAAATACTCACTTTATACAATATCAATCTTGATTTTCATGAAATAAAAAATAAATATCCAATTTCCAATCGAGTCAGGATTATTAAATTCATCCTGGGGGAGACTCTCTGCTTACCCTGTCCTCACTAACTACTCCCTTCCCGCATTTGAGGCCAGCGTTTGAGGACATAAGCTATTTAAGTTCCCCATCTCCCCTCAAAAAATCAATTCACCTTCAATAGTATAATTTTGTATCTTAGTAAATTTAAAGTACAAAGTCTCAATCATTTATTAATTTTAAATGTATCCAGTTATACTCTAGTATGATTTCAAATCAAAGACAGGTATATTCATTTAGAAAGTACTCTCCAATACCTCTCCTAACCTTCACAGGAAGAAAATATTTACATCTATAAGGCAAAACCCATAGCAAGAATAAATCTTCATCAGAAGTTTTCCAAACAAATGAAGTATGAATAATTCATACTAAAATGATAAAAGTAGCTCTCCTGGAATCTCCATTTATAATAATAAAAACAGAAGAAAAGTTTCATTGAAGCTTGACATCAACAAAAGGACTGAATCCTGACTTTCCCTATACCCTCCCCAAAAGTTCTCTCAGAAAGGTAAGATTATCTTTTTGGAGGAGTAAATAATCAAGAAAAAAATGTGACAATAATTTACAAATATTTCCCCATAACAGAGAACTTTTTCAGAAGCTAGAATGTTTCAGCAAGTTGTTCATGTTTTTCAAATCATTTCTTTTTTTAATTTTATTTTAAAGAAATAAAGAAGAAAAAGATAAACATCACAATGAAACGAAGATTCAAGACAGGTTAACTGGATCACTACAATAGTTGATACTTTACATTATCTTTGTAGTTGCTGTTCAGAGTATAAGATATAGGCACAATATCTTGTCCTAACAGTATTAGCACAAAACATTCTTTTCAAAAAACTAAAAAAGCTAAGACTATCTTTTATGTATGACTCTCCTGTCTCTTTTGTGTACAGATGCATCGGTTTACTAGTGTCTTGTCTTCTAAGCTGTCAAGCCTCAAATCATTTCTTAAAGACCAAACTCTATTTCAATGGTGTATTTATTGTAGATTTAGTGTACATTTTAGTGACTGCATGGTGCTTTGATTTATAAGTAATAAGATAAACAATTATAAACTTAACTGAGGCTGTATGAAGTTTTATATTGAAATGCGTTCTATTCAGCTTCACTTGAGCACTACACCCTGGCTTGTTTTCAGATCCTACGCTTTGAGCTGATGATGTGAGCACTGAGAGCCACTCACACAGGCCCTGGGTTCTGGCCTAATTTGTGACTTCCCTTCTCAATGCAGCTTCCCCTGAAAACCAGCAAGACCAGACGGAATGAAAAGGGCCTTCGTGGGATGAAGCACTGAAACCAGACTGTGGGGAAGCCTGTATCTGGGTGAAAAAACTCAGCTCGAAAACAAGACAAAAATAACTGCCCAAATCTCTATACCAACAGTCCCACGAGGTGCTTCAGGCACAGCTTTCAATCAAACGGAGTTGAATCCCAGCTGGCCATCAGGCGGCAGCATGGCAGCCTGCAGCCCGGGTCTGAGAAGGCGGACAGCAAAGGGTGCTCTCCCACCATGCTTCTGAAAGACACACACAAACCCACACGCAACTGGTCCCAGGGCAATATGAGAATGTGTGCATGAGTGTGCGTGAAATTTTTACATACTGTTGTCAACAACGAATGCAGTATTGGATTTCATATTTCACTTTCACTATGTACCACGACTTCTAAATTCGGCACGAATTATCTTTTAACTGAAATGATTATGAATATATGGGCTTATAGTAAAACTGCCATGTAGGTAGCACTTAAAGCTACAAAACTGGATAAAAACACCAAAGGTGTGGGCTGGGTGTGTAGCTCAACAGTGGAGTGCTTGGAGGCCCTGGGTTCAATCCCAAATACCACTAAAAACAGAAACAGACAACAGGGAGAGACTAAAGACTACAGAAAAGGATCAAGGTTCATGTCCTAGGACAAGACTGAGAAAAGGAAGGGACTAAGAGGAAACAACCAGGAAAGCAGCAAGAAGTCACAACTGTAAGCAACTGCAAGCGAGGAGGGGAGAAAGCAGCAAGCGAGAATGCACTAGCAGTCAGCCCACCCAGGCCTGAGCACAGAGCTGCTCAGGGGCATCAGAGGCCTTCCTAAGGACTCTCTCAGCTTACAATGTGTTGCTCCCAAATCATCGTTCACAGCCTTCTTAATCCTAAGGTTTCAGCTCAATTGCTCCATTTTTATTGAAATCTTTTTAAGATGTTACTGAGTAACACCTGTGTTCAGTATGGCCATCCGTTAACTATCTTACACTTTATAGTCTATTTACCAAGACCTGTAACTAAGTTACACAGGTCAGTCCAGCACTGAAGACTAAGGACAGGAACCTTCTTAATTACTTGGTGCTATGTACAATACAAAGCCCCTCACAGTAACAGAGAAGCTAGATCTACTACTGTCCCACCACCGCAGCAGCCACATGGAAACTGAGGGTACAAAACCTCCCCGAGCCAAGCGTTGATATCTAACCAGTCAGGATTCTATAATGCTTTTATGCTTCAACATGACTGAACCTAAACTTAATAGTTACTCCTGTAGTATTATACTAAATGATATACAGATTTTAAAGAGAGACTACAAAAGAAAATATGCACTTGGCTATACAGCATAGGACACATCTTTGTGTATCTACATATGGATAAATCTTGACAACAGAAGTACATTCATAGGCAATAGAGTAACTTTTTTTTTTTTTTTTGGAGACAGGGTCTCACTATGTAGTACAAGCTGGCCTTGAACTCAC